GCACATAATGCCTTTGACCCGATATCTTCATCTTCCGAATCCCGTTCCAAATCGGGAGGTAGGTCTAAATTATTTGCTGGTCGCAGGAACATTTTTTTATTATGAAAAATTATGGCTACAGCTGCACCATCCTCACTCCTATTCATTTAATTTAAACCTCCTATCTGGAGGCCTTCTTTTGGAAGGTTTTAAAAATATCGATATTTGAGGTAAATTTTGACATTTATTTTCCTATGACAGATTCTTCAATTCTTTAAAGTGCAGAATAGCTGCTAATTTTCCGTGTAATATAACGGAATTAAGAAAAAGTAATGATCCACGGATATATGATTGCCTATTCTATTGGAATTTATAGGGAAAACCAGTAAAAACCACTCTGAAGGATCTCGAAAAAGGCTAACATGCCATCCAGCATGTTCAGCCACCTGGCCACATTTGGAATGGTTTAACTAGACCCTTCCAAATGTGCCCAGGCTATTCACAATTCCATTGCTAACCTCTTCCTCGAACAATTTATAGTCCTCCATGGCTTGCCTTTTGATCGGTAAAGTAATGGTCATGGTGCACGTTGCGGCTATGGGTAGACAAGCCTCTTCATCAGTATGATTAAATTTCACAGTTAATTTGTCAAGTTCCACAGCTGGCTTGTCTCTAGTCCCTGTTACAAACGCTCAAGGTAAGTGAAACGAAGGTATGCTCGTCCCGACCCTTTCGGCCAAAACTCGGGTTTCGGCTCTCGCCGGCAGAGCTGTGGCGCGCGATTTGAATGTCAACATTTTTGCATCCTGGCCGAAAACAAACATGGCAGCTGCTCTGCTGTGAGGTCGGTGTCTCGACGTAAACAAACATTGTATGAAAACTGAAAAGCTTTTGTGTTATTTATCAAAATTGATTTCTCCTCTCTTCTGATTTCTTTTTGTTTCTGTTCTACCCTTATTCGCGAACATCTCGAATTTCATTTCAAGTTTAATTCGGCTTCTATTACGTTTAACTCTCCTATAAATCGCTCTGTTCCGAAGTGCAAGTGAGTGATACCTCAAAGATTGTTGCCTCTGTCTACCCGGCAATAACATCCAAGAATCATTTTGTTCTAAATTATTCTTCGCGTATTTTACTTCGGGATACAGATTTATTGTCACTCAAGATCGGAAATAATGATTAGCTCCAATATTTTTGAATATCAGTCAGTATCGAATATTTCTGTCAAAGAAGTCCAGGATGTAATCAGCAGTCGAGAAACACCCTGGGACAAAAATGTTTTGGCTTTGATATGTACTTATAATTCTATACCTTTACTTTGCATTTACAATTCTCAGTACCTTCTTCATCATCAGGTAAATTTAAGTGATCACAGACATACGCCAAGATGAAAAGAGAGCTACCTCCAAAGAGAGGCACTTTTAAGTTTTAGTACCTACTTAAAGGCAGTAGTTTTAAGTGTTGAAAATTAGAAACTGAGTTTTGCTTTTTATTATTTCTCAGTTACTTACAGGAGTTTTTCACATCATCTTCAAGTCATTTCTGCTTTGCATGATCAATCCTGGCGATTGATCAAAGTGGCCCAGTGAAATTGTAGGGTCAGTTTGTTCTTTCCTTGAGAAATATCAACATTCGTATCTGCAATCTGAGCTAAGGACTGGATTAAAGTACCTTCCTATTATCAGCTGCTTAATGTCATGTACCCATGAAAGCGTTTATTCTAGATGTTCTCTGGTTTTTCTAAAGATCAGAATGTGTCCAAAAAGCTAATGAATGACAGTCATCTCTTAGCTAACAACAATCTGACTTTGGAAAGACTTGCTGATAATCTGTACGTTCATCTGGAAGAATTCTAGGTACATAACCACAGATGTATCAAAAGTGGATTTCTATAACTGAAAATGGGTAAGTACATAAGAAATAAACCAAATTATTCCATCGCTATTCCCATGATTTTCTCATTTCCCAGTCAACACGTTCCAATATGACACCCGTTGCGATTAAAGATTCCGACTTTGGCACATTAAAATACCAAGATATAATGTTTTAGCATAATAATGCATACATGGGGTCAAAAAAAATTCAATCCCATAATTGCGGTTTGCTCCACAAGGAAGTGAACTTCGGCAGAGAACAGATTTCATTATGTTCTTCTGGTGCCAATGCCCTAGAAAGATCAAGACCCTGTTACCCCCCATAAGATTAACTCAAAATTTTGGGAGCGAATCTGATCAAATTTCAAAGAAATTTACTAGGATAAGTAAGGATTCCAATTTTTTTTCCTACCAGTTATAAAAACATATCCAACTTCAGAGTCTCGCCCTAGGTTCAACAGTTTGATGAAACCTTTTAATATTCAACATTTTCTTCTATCTAATTTAACTTTGAATTGGACGATAAAGAAATGTCTTTACTTCCAGAAAAGTTATTTAAAATTCCATGCAAATCCTATATATTACAAAAGGCCATCCTGTACTTTACTAGGATAAGTAAGGATTCCAATTTTTTTTTCCTACCAGTTATAAAAACATATCCAACTTCAGAGTCTCGCCCTAGGTTCAACAGTTTGATGAAACCTTTTAATATTCAACATTTTCTTCTATCTAATTTAACTTTGAATTGGACGATAAAGAAATGTCTTTACTTCCAGAAAAGTTATTTAAAATTCCATGCAAGTCCTATATATTACAAAAGGCCATCCTGTACTTACTACAAAATCTCATTTTCTGAGAGCACATTACTTACTCAAGTTCTTAACAACTTTTTTGGGTGGAAAAAATGGTTACGTATATTTTTAATTGGACGTATTTCTACTAAGCGGAACTAAATGCCATCGGGTGAAGAAGGTAGAGGGGGAGTTGGATTGGCGGTGGAACCGGGCATCAAGCTTATTCCATCCTATGCTCCCAATGCTTTTCCATGGCGCTCAGCTCCATTTAGCAGAACACGCTATCCGGGATTCTAAAATCCTCAAAAGGAACTGAAATTGGCGTTTAGTTCCGTTTCGTAGAAATACGTCCAATTTAAATTGATAATTTTTGCATAATCTTATTGCTTCAGTATGCACTGAAGTCTATTAAAAACATAATGAAGAGAAAATTCTATTTAGCACTCTTTCTATTACAGGACTATTTTGTCAAATATTTCAGCTGTAAAAAATCAAATTTCAGCTTGAATTTTAACTTGAAGATAATGAGCAAAAATATGTTACTGCATGACCACTTTTGAGGAGAGAAATTTCAAATTACTTTACTACTGGTGCTACAGCACAAATGGACCTCAGTCTCCAAGACCCAAGGCTTTAGCTGGGTTTTCATGGCAAAGGTTTTTTTACATGGTAAGATTTCTACACCTACAACAACCGTCTCCCTTTTTCTGAGCTTGGGAACAATAGCATCAAAAATTCATTTTATAAGATTGTGACTGTTACATCTATAACACTGAAATGAACAGAGCTTACAAATTTTTTAATTTATTATTTTGTTAGGAAAGAAAAATTATGATTTCTATCAATGGTACGATGGGTAAGAATAACAATAAAAAGAAAAGAAGTGAAATAAAGAAAAATGGCATTTTTAATTCAGCTTCATGTAAACCACCAAATGACAAAAACAATTACAAAATTCAAGGCAAATTGGTGTAATGCTTGGACACACACACTGATCTGTTAAGGCCGGAATCATCAACAACAACAACAACAACCAAAAAAAAAAAAAAAAAAACACAGGAAATTTGCACATTTTATGAGTTTAAATTTCTTGAATTTTCAGTATTTCATCGCAAGATTTCGTTTGTGAAAAAAAAAAGAGAATTGGTCTGATATTGGAATGTTACAATAAATTTGCTGCGGGTGACTATTTTTTGTATTTTATGTTTGACATATCCCTACAGATTTAAAGATGTCCTGGCAATTATGAAAATTCACTAGCACTGTGTTCAATTTTGATGAGAGTGGATGAAGTTGTGGGTCAGTCCTCTATCATGAATAGATAACAAAACTTAATCATAATAAAAAGTAACATACAAGGTAAAAATATAAAACTCCACCAACAATTTTACGGTAACTAAATTAATTGAGTCCCACAGACCGATGAATCATGATAGACATACATTTATGTTTTGGGAAGGCAGTGAACCTTTCCTAGGCTTTGCAATGAGCTGATGGGACATTCTACGGTTCTCAGGGAAAAATTTACTATCACGAAAAGTAACTCAATAACAACTGAAGAAATTGCCCGTGGAAGGAAGTCTGTACAAAGCTATTCACAATTTATTGGATAGTTGAGCTAAACAGTCATATCTGCACTGTAATGTTTCGAAATCTTATCTCCTATTTCAACTTCCTGGAAGGAAACAAACCATCATTTTTGCTTAAAATTTTGTGAAAAAAACCTTCAAAGAGGCAAGACAAATTGCAACAATTTTCAATTAGGGATGTTGGTTAAAAATTAATTTTCTAAAAATCCACAAAAGTAAGCTCTTAGATAGTTTAATCTGGTCTGACAAATAAAATAAAAAAATAATGAAAGCACAAAATGAGAAACCAAATGAGTAGACAGTAAAAACGAGAGCAGTTTTATCCTACATTAGAGAGCAGTTAGTCCTGCATTTGCAGAATAAATGTTACACATGTCGTACAGCTTAATTCTGAACAGATGATAGCAAACTCATAAGAAGTCAATCTAGTGGAAGGGAAACAAATTTGTTGGGAGACAAAAGGTTTGTAATTCCAGTTGTCAGCGCAGGGTTCTTCAAAAGGGGATGAACGACTTGATCAGCCAAATAACACGGTAAAATAACAACTAAAGCCGGAGTAAAGCTATTGCAGAATACAAAAGACAAGGGGCAACAAATTACACCAAAAACTAAGACGTCTTAAGATCCAACTTATTCAGTTTCAACAGGAAGCAAAAATAAAGGATCGTATCTCCTATTTCAACTTTCTGGAAGGAAACGAATCAACATTTTTGTTTAAAATTTTGTGGAAAAAACCTTCATAGAGACAAGACAAATTGCAACAATTTTCGATTAGGAATGTTGGTTTAAAATTAATTTCCTAAAAATTCACAAAAGTAAGCTCTTAGATAGTTTAATCTATTCCGACAAATAAAATAAAAAATTAATGAAAGCACAAAATGAGAGACCAACAATAGCCTACTTTACAATTTTCCGCATTTTCCGGACTGTTTTCCTATCTGTAGAATACTTTCTCTTCTGACCTGTTTCAGGAGTGCTTTCAGTAGCCTGTTTGTCAGCAGTTTTCTGCCTTTTTCTGCTATTGCTTCTGTTTACAGTAGACTTCCTCTTTTCACCTAGTTTGGGAACACTTTCGGAGGTCTGCGTTTTAGCACTGGCAGCACTTTCCGAGGCTTTTTTTTCCTCAAGGATCTTCTGCGCTCTCTTTGCTTCTAACATTTGCTGTCTCCTAAAATTTAAAAATCTAATCCTTACAACGACTCGAGTAGAGCAGAAAATTTTCACAAGAGCTGGGTCAATGTTCAGAGATGAAACCTTTCTTGAAACGTAAGAAATAGTATTTTTCACAACGTTTTTCCGGAATTTAAAAGTTTCCTTATGTAATTTCCTAAAATACTTTTCCATTTTTAGTACTTGAGAGAACCACTTAGAAGATGGTTCAATTAAGCCGCCATAGGATAAGTGGCTTATCCACGTTGGTAGACAATAATTATGTTCATGAAATTCAACTTCACTGCCATCTTTTGTGTACTGTCCTAAGTATGGAAACCTATTTTTAAGTCTCCTGGCAAGAGCACCGGCTATGTAGGTTAATCCATCCTTTTCCATGTTAGTCAACTTATCTGATAACGATACAGAGGTAGAGCTGGCTTTGGAGGAGACATCCTCTGCTACGGCAATTTCTTCTTCTGGCCTTGGAATACGCTTGTCTGATGTCAATTCAGCCTGCTGGAAAGTATCCCTTACCAAAAAGTCGCATTCCTCTTCAGGAGGTACAACAGTATTCGTTTTTTCCTGAATCATGCCGGGGTTTTTACATAACAACAAGCCTCTCAGCCGATAAATAAGAGTGAGAGGTGAAGGGTGGTCGTTCAATCCTCCATCGAGCCTTAACTGAAATGAAAACGAAAAAACAATAGAATTAATGTTACACGAAAGAAAAAAAAAAAAAAAAAAAAAAAA